GTGACCAAGAAGCTATTATTAGGTCAGAATATGGAGATACAGAATGATTTCCTGTAGGAAAGGTATCAGGCAAGGATATATTTTATCTATCTGTTCAATTTATACACAGAAGAAAGCTGTATCTGGAACTGAGAAAGTGAAAATCTGCAGAAGATACAGAATTTAAGATATGCAAATGATACCATATTAGTGGCAGAAAGCAGTAATGAACTGAAATGACTCTTGGTGAAAGTGAAAGAAGAAAGTGCAAAAGCAGGACTGCAGCTGAACATGAACAAAAATTGTAAGTACGCAAGAATTATAGTACTGTCAACAATGACGAAACTGCAAATGTGAGAAATTGTGCATGCCTTGGCTCAAGCATTAATTCAAAGAGAGACTACAGCCAAGAAATTGGAAAAGACTGAGACTTGGAAGGGCACTAGTAAAGGAACTAGAAAAGATCATCAAATGTAAGGTCTTTTCATTGGAAACCTAGCCAATCCACTTTATGGTATGCCTGATCACTGTGTATGGGTGTGAAATTTACAGTGACAATACTTTGGAGTTATTGTTCTAATCCGAAACCTTGCATGAGCAAGACACATACTTGCACAAGGCAGCCATCTTTCTTATACTCTGTCTTGCTCCAGCCTGCCATGCCCCATCCCACAGATGGTTCCTCAACACTCAGAAGCAGCATTTGGGGGTGAGGAAGTGAATTACAGGGCTATAGTGGGAAAGAGGAGCCAAGAAAACAAGTAGACTTTCATTTTGGATCCAATCCAGTACATAGTTCTGATCACTACAATTAAAAATGAGTGTACAGCTGGAAAAAGTGGAGGAAAATGCAACCAAATCATCATTGTTAAAAAATGGTGGTTAGGGTATGTGTGACAGAGGGTAATAAAATTACACATATGAGGAGAAAGAAGATAGAGTTTTCTCCCTCAGTCATAATAGCAGATCCTGGTAGTATACAATGAAGCCAAATGCTGAGAGATTCAAACCAAAATGAAGTTATTCTTCGAACAAAGCATAGTGAACCTATGGAATCTTCCAGCACAAGATGAGCTAATGACCACCAACTTGGAGAGCTTTAAGAAAAGATTGGACGAATTCAGGAAGAATATGACTATCAATTGTTATTATGGCCTTATGCTTCTAGATCAGAGGCAGCATGCCTCTGAATAAAAGTTGCTGGGAAACAGCAGTGAGAGAGGACAACTGCATTCACTTCCTGCTTGCAGGTTCACTATAAGCATCTTAATGGCCACTGTGGGAAACAGGATACAGTGGTACCTCGGCTCACAAACGCCTTAGTTCATGAACAAATCGGGTCATGAACAGAAATTTCATTAAAAAATTGCTGCAGGTCGCAAACTCTGCATCAGGTGACAAACATGAGCATGCCCGCCTTCCCTGCACGGGCGTGATCACGGTCATGCGGGGGAAGCGGGAGATGGCCGCATTCGTGCTGGGGAGGAGATGACTGTGATTGCGCCTGTGTTCCCTGCCCAAGTGCACCTGTGCCCGTCTCCCACCCCGTGCACCCGTGCCCACCTCCCCACATGCCTGCGCCCATCTCCCCTCACCCCTCCCCCTGCATGATCTTTGTTGTTCTTTGTCACTTTGCTTCACATTTTTGTGAGTAAAAAAAATAATTGCAGAATGGATTAACCTTATTTACATTGACCCTTATGTGGAAACCTGACTTGGCTGACGACCAATTTGGCTCACGACTAGAGTCCTGGAACAGATTACGTTCATAAGCCAAGGTACCACTGTACTGGAAACAGGCAGGCCTTCGGTTTGATCTATCAGGGTTCTTATTTAGAGCTTTGACATTTCAAATTTACTCACTTTGCCATGACTGTATGCCCTTAACAATCCTCGACCATAGCATTTGTTGCTACAGGCCTAGTTTAACTATGTAGTTTGTCTCCACTATACTGGAAACCACTGCTGGCAAAACAAAACAGATTGGCATGCAGAAGGAATAGTTTCAGGTCATCTTCACAAGGCAATATTCTTCAGGTATTTTATGTCAGAAGTTAAAACAAAAATGCCACTAAAATGCAAATTATTCTGTAAAAAGTATATTATAACATGCATCAGAGCTAGCCAATTACAGTTTACCTTTCTTATCTGTTTACTGACAGGAGAAAGGAAACAAGCAAGGCTTTGACTGTCAGAATAATTTTGAACAATTCAAAGCTACATTAGCCATCACAAATGTATACCATTTTTCATTATTACCTTACCAATGCTTTCCGTTTCAAAAGTGTTCAATCCATTACTCACTGTAAATAAAGCTTCAGACTATTTCCTCTTGAAGGTCTGACTTAAGTATATATACTAGAAAACTAAACATGTCCCCTTAGATTTAACAAATCCTCTTAAAAGTAGCCCTTTTCTGTACTACTTTTAAAACATTAATACTGGAGTCTGTTTTTGTCATGACACACACACTATCATCTTAGAATCATAGAATAGTAGAGTTGGAAGAGGCCATGAAGGCCATTGAGTACAACCCCCTGCTGTTGCAGGACACCATGTTACACCATCCCACTCAGATGGCTGTCCAGTTTCTTTTTGAATGTCTCTAGTGTGGAAGAGCCTGCCACTTCTTTAGTCAGCTGGTTCCACTGTTGTATTGCTCTGACAGTGAGGAACCTTTTCCTGATGTCCAGCCTGAATATGGGTTGCAGCAACTTGAATTGATTATTCCATGTCCTACTTTCTGGCATTAGCAAGAAGAGATCTTGACCTTCTTCTTTGTGACAGCCTTTGAGGTACTTATAGAGGGATATCAAGCTCCCCCCTCCCCTGTCTTCTCTTCTCAAAGCTGAACATGCCCAGTTGCTCCTCATAGGGCAGTGTTTCCAAGCCCTGGATCATTTTGTTGCCTTCCGCTGGACCCTTTTCTAATTTACCTGCATCTTTCTTAAATCTTGGTGCCCAGAGCTTAACACAATATTCCAGGTGAGGTCTGACTAGTGAGGAGTATAGAGGAACTACTACTTCTCGTGATTTGGAAATAATACTTCTGTTAATGCATCCCAAAATAGCGTTTGCCCTTTTGGTGGCTACATTGCATTGTTGGCTCATGTTTAGCCTATTGTTCACAATTTCTCCAAGATCTTGTTCTTTTCCAGTTCTGTTGACCCATGTATTCCTCATCTTATATCAATGCATTTGGTTTCTTTTTCCTAGGTGGATGACTTGGCACTTGTCCTTACTGAATCTCATTTCAGCCCAATGTTCAAGTTTATTAAGATCACCCTGTATCTTCATTCTGTTTTCTAGGGTGTTTGCTATTCCACTCAGTTTTGTATCAACTGCAAATCTGATTATCTTTCCTTGTACTTTCTCATCTAAATCATTAATAAAGATGTTGGAAGAGCACTGAGCCCAGGACTGAACCCTGTGGCATCCCACTAGTTACCTCCATCTAATTTGAGAAGGTGCCAACTACTCCCAATCACATGTAAAAATGTATAAGGAACATTATTTTCATACATGCTTATCAGTTACCATCCAACCCTTATCATTTATATATTTCCAATTATGTTATTTTTTTCATAATCTAATCTGTGTATCAAGCCTCACTGAAAGTATGTCAGAGAATGCACTGTGTGGCATGGCTGTGTGCCACATTTTAAGGAGAAGTGCAGCACTGGTGGGGAACCACTGAACTGCAAGCCATACCTAAACTGTAGAGCCTTTCGTGGATTTTTGTCCTCTCCTCTCTACTATCTAGCAATTAGGCTTTTAAAATGAAGTCTGCTGAAGTCAAAGGCAACTTTCTCGATGCTAATCACTGCAGCAATCTTTGTTGTGACTGCAGCTGAGACACTCAGTCCCAAAAGCAGAGCCAGGCAGTCCAGAAGTCAGTAGCACACATTCAAACACAAGGGAATATGCAGGAACCAGGATTCAAGGCACTAAGAGCTTGTAAGATGTTGCTCCAGTAACAAGTTAGCGTCCATCAAAAGCTTCTATGCTCGAGCTTCCGCACCCCTATCCAGGACTCAGCTGCATTATGTCAGAGCATTCCTTATAAGAACCCATTTAGCCAGAGGGCATTCCTTCACCTGGCCATTGTCCTTGCTTGAATCCTAAGGCATCTGCTTCAGATGTAAAGCTTTCTGCCTCTTCAGGAGGCAGAGGAGTCAAGAATGTCCTGGGTAGTGTTAGGATTCTCTGATGAGGAATCCCCTGGGAGAGTCAGAATAACTATGTTGGGGGTTGGAGGGAGGGAGAAGGATAGAGGTGCCCTGCCCATTTTACTTTGCCCTTCCTCACTACTGGCATGCAGTCCTGGAAGGTTTGCCACAAAGGATTGTAGTCCATACAATTAAAAAATGTTCCCCATCCAGGAGGTACAATAACACAGACACTAGTAAAGAAAGTGTTCAAGAAATATGGGTCACTGTTCAAAATGGGTCACTGCTCAAAAACGATAGCATGCAGCAGTGTTGCTGCTGCTGCTGCTGTTTGCAGCTGCATGAGCAATGCAGTGGAGGAACATTCAGTCTTTCAAAACAATAAAACTTTTAAAAACAAGGTAAAATATATCACAAAAAGAAACAGGCAGTAAGGCAATTAGTATGACTCATCAGGAATAGCAAAAATTGTTCTGTTCTATTCTTATTTCAAAGCTAGACCTGGAAGCGGTACCAAAATCCACAGATCCTCAAACGTAGTAGCATGCTGCATTTAACTGTATAAGATTTCTCATATCTTCATATGTGAAAAATGTTAATGCTATATAGTACAATAAGCCCCCAAAGTAGACTAACACTACATTTCTATGGTCCCCTTGACAGCATCTAGAGTGCAAGAGGAGTTACAGGCATCCCTACAGGTTCAAAAAGTGTAAGAAATTCTGCCTAGTGAACACACTTATGTAATGATAAATAAAATTAGTGTCATGCTTAATTGGACATTGATATAGTTTAGCTAATGAATGTGTCATCACAACACCACCTTATTTTGTAATCTACTTTCCTACTTACCTCAGGTTGACTCGAAATATTCAGAATCAATGCCCACAACTCAGCTCGTAGTGAATTTGGACATCCCTGCCGAACATATTGTTGAGCTGCTGCACTATCCTGCTCAATCAGAACTAGAAGAAATGTAGATGTTGTTAATATACATAACCAGCATACAAACACTATCCATGTTGATCACATTTCACTGCTCCTTGTTTCTTCAAGTTGATTTAAGATGGTAGTGTACAATTGCCTTCACTGTAATAACATCATATCAACTAAACTCACTTCCCAACTGGCTACTCTACATAAGTGTCAGATTAACACCCCCATTATCCTCAGCTGGTAAAGATATTGTCTATGATGTCTGTGAGTCATGAGTTAAAAGCCAACAGATCTGGAGGGTACTAGTTTGTTGAAGGCTGGCTTGAAGATTCTGACATTTCTTTTGTCCCACATCCAGAAAGTCAGCAGTTTCTCTCACTGAATTTATGTCAGAGAATTTTATATATGCTCATAAAATGGAGATAAACATTTTATTAAAACATTTTCCCTCTTCCATCTGTGTAAAAACTAATAAACCAAGTACTGCATTTTAGCAATACCTTGCTTAATTTAACTGAGGACAATCAACCAATAAGCATTTAGTTTACAAGCTATTAAGTTGCCTAAGTGGCCTTCCCAAACCACAGACTTTATATGCAAGATACTTTCTTCACTAGAAGAGATGGTGGCACTGTCATCATCATCAAGTATTTATGTGTTAATCTTCATACACCACTTTTTAATTATTAGGTCCTCAAAGCAGTTTACAATATTTAGAAATAATATCTGAACTCCTTCCTTGTCTCTCATACTATGTTAGCCCTGGAGTATATTCTATCTCATCTTTCCACACCATCCTTTAACTATTTTGCAGTCAATAAAGGAAAGCCTGTACCATTGCCCTCTTAGCTCTAAAGCACTATTTCTAAGCAAAGGTGCATATGCCCTGATAGTCCATACCCATTGGCACCCATGGGCAGCTGACATAATACTGCTATCTCCTAAAGTTACTCAAAAGAAGCCTAGACATATTTTAAATAAATAAAAACAAACAAATGTCCCAAAAGGAATCCACGAAGGGAAGTAGCAAGTATTGTTCTTTGTCAGGTGTAGACCTTCTATTCTTCCATTTTTTTAAATCACAGAAAAAATAAACCCATGTTCAGAATGGCTGATGGGAGTGTATATATAGTAGGTATTTGTATTAGTGTGAGCAAAATTCACAGTAGTGCCCTTACATTTGCTCTCTTCACACCTCAACATTGAAAACATCCCTAAAAACCAAGAACATTTGTTCTTCATTGAACTTTTTTTAGCAATTCTGTTGACAAACTAATCCCTATACATCTTAAAGAAGAAAACTTTAGTGTGTTAGGAAGAACAAAACTGTTAATAAATTAAGCTTCAGTGCATATTTTAGTTATGAAAGGAGAAAAAGAATTGGTAGCTGGCTTTATGATGAAGCCTAGATGAAATCAAGAATCTCCCAAAACAGAAACCCAGGCATTTTTCTCAAGAAAACAAGAATTCACAGCTTAAGGTTGGTGGACAGTATAATTGTTGTATCGAATAAAAGAGGAAGCTGACAGCAATCATTTCTTAAAGAAGACTACTAACTTATACCCAGAGCAAAAGTAGACTGTGAGTTCTGCTGCAGAGCAAATTGTTGTGGTTATTATTAAAAAGGCTGCACGGCAGCCTTTAAATTGTTTTCTAGGGAGGAAGACGCTGAGGAGCATTTGGTTCAGGATAATTCATCCCTAAGGGATAATGGTACAAATGTTCCAAGTCAGCTAGATGACAATACAGTTGAACTTAACAAGCCTACTGACAGACATGATATGCACTTGAGGAGACCAAAGGACACAGGAGAATTTGCACGTGTTAAAATACTTTTGAAGGAAGGCTGTAGCTCAATGTTAGAGAATATTCTATCTGAAAACCTGGAGAGCTGCTGTCATTTCACATAAACAACCCTGACCTACATGGATCAGTGGTGGTATATAGCAGTTTCCTATGAGAGGGATGCAGTGTATACACTGCCTGACATTAGCTTTCCAGAGTTTCAAGAAGGGGAATTTCCCAGCTTTACCTAGAGATGCAAGGGATTGAATCTCAGACCTTTAGCTATACCACTGAGGTATGGCCCTTCCTGGGTTTAATATTCAGTGTACTCAAAACCTTGCATGAGATGCAAGTGTTCTTAAAATACTTAGGGATATTAACCACTGTGATATCAGATTCAGCATTTGTAGAAGTGGAAAGAAGATACAGCTTAGCCCCATTTAATTTCAAAGAGAAAATATCCCAGTAAAATTGACAGGCAAGAGACTCGGGACAAACAAAAGGACGTAGTTCTTCACACAATTTAACTTGCACTGCCCCAAAATTTGGAGACAAAGTCACTGGCCAGCTACTAGCTTAGATGGCTTTAAAACAGGATTAAGCAGAAGGTTAAGACATAAAAAAATAACTCTCAATATTCAGAGGAAGTATACTTTCTGAATAATATATCGAAGGAGCAAACTAGCAGAGGACAATTGCCTTCTGGTCCTACTTAAGAGTTAGATTCAGTAAAACTATTTTTATGAGATTCCTAAATATAATTTGTTTTGATATACAGTTTCTCTCTTCTGCAAAATAACATTTTACCCTCACCTGTATCTCTCTGCTAAAGGACAGAGCCATTCATTCTATTAGGATCATATGATGAAGCCAATGACACTTATAGCAATAGACAGTGGTTCATACGTATCAGTTGTTTTTACCTCTCAGGCAGCCAGAACATACATGAAGCAGAGAGCGCAAGGATTGCTGAATGAACCTGTAACAGCAAGCTTCAGAGTATGGACCAAGAACCTCATGATAATTACTGTGGCCTATGTGCTCTGGCCTCAGAAGCCTTCTCATGCAATAAATGAAGCAGCAGCGTCTGGCATCAGTACCTGCATTTGCCAGGCAGCATTAAACCACTGAATTAGCCAAGCCAAGCCTTCTGCTGTTATGTTATCAAATTAGCAGCTGTCTTCTGTCCAGCAACTGAGCTCAGAGACTGACTGCAGATCTAGATTTAGGTATGGTTAACCTGGCTCTGACATTCTGAATACATATTAGCAATAACCAGAAAAATGGTGCAAAATATTCAAGTCTACCAGGCGATTCTCTCTATAACTGTAGTTGTACCCTACTTGTGATTAAAATATAGCATTGGAGGAATTTGTTCTTTCACATAGCAATATACCACATAGACAGAAGGATTTTTAAAAAAAAATCTATCTGAAATATTCACTGGAATTCAGTTTAATAAAGAGCCAGTTTAAGTTCTATAGATTCCTACTCCACTATGCTCCTTTTAAGAATCTAGTTTCTTTTCCTCTACTTCCTACCAGACAAAGTACAAAACAAAAATTTTAATTTTGTCCCATAAAGTAAATGCTTGAGAGACAAAGCTATACTCAGTGAATTTGGAAAGTGACATGGAAAACCCATCATGGATATGTCTTCTTTTTTTTTCTTCCGTATCTTGGCAAGATGCTAACAATCCAGAAATAAATTACTGGGGCTGCATGCCAAGCTAATACTTGACATTCACTGGCTAAGCAAGTGACATGAATGTTAAGGCTACCCAATTAGCAGCAAGTCAAAGATAACTCAGCAGTAATAGATCTCTCATTTAAAGACAGTTTGGGATCATGAAGGCTTCCGTTTCATTTTGATTCCAGTCTCAATTAATCAGGGCATGGCTGGAAACAATACAACTGAAATTCATCTTGAAACAAGGAAAGCATTACACTTTTGATTAATAAGTTGGCCAGACTTGTTGCTTATGAGTCACACAATGTTATGACCCTGTACAAATCAGAGATTCCAGTCAAAAACCTTCTGGATTCTCACGCCTTTTTTCTCCTTTCCCTTTCCCTTTGTGCATTTAAGATCCCATGAAAAGTGATCAGCCAACTTTAATATAATCATGCCCAATTTAAAAATTTTAAAGAAATAAGGGATACAAATCATTTTAACAATGAACACAAATCTGAAAAGTTGCTTACCAAATCAAGGTGGTCACTGATTTCCAGACAACCTATTCACTATCTGAAATAGGTGTCCAGTCAGAAATAGATTGTTGAGATTTTTCTTTCATCTTTCAGAAGTAAATCAAATAGTCATTGCTGTCTTTCTATATGGCTTAAGATAAAACATGCCCATGGCATGCTTTCTCATCTCCCTGTAATATAATTCTTAATCTGTACTTCACACTTTGTTTGTTTTCTCTGACAGTGTATCTAATAATGTAATTCTATTTACATAGCTGAAGCTGATGGGCTTTCTCTAGCTTTGAATTTTATTCCCAAAATAAATTTCCCTTGCATTGAATGTACTTTTAATTTAAGGTGACAACCTTGTGAATACTGGAAGAATGCAAGTCAGCTAACCATCACCCTAGCAAGCTCAATCTTGTTCTTTCATAACTTCAATGTGTTTTCATGATGCTGTTCCACGGATATGTTATGATCAATAGAACAAACAAAATATTAAGTGTGTTAAAAAAGATCTTGTAAGGGGTCAAGTCTTGTGAAGTATTCATATAGAACCTATGAAAAGTTAGTTTAATAAATCAAGTCAGTTTGGAAAGGAAAATATTGATTTGAGAAAACAGCAAAAAGAACTCTGGCTTCTTAACTCTTTGCTGTTCCTGCTCTAAGGCAGACTACCTTTAGTCTGCCTTAGAGCAGGAATTTATGCAGGAATTCAGGAGAATAATGGCAAGTAAAGAGTTTCACTGAAAAGAGGAATGAGGAAGGGAGATTAGAACATAAAATATTTGCATACAAAATATGAATTGAAAGAAATACACAACTTTCTAAAGAGTGGCAGAAACACTCCTAATTCCTAGCCACTACACAATAAAAGAATGCACACTGTCATCACTGACAAAAAAATCAATCTTAATAATGCACTGAGTCTTTGAAAGAGAAGGCAAAGAAAAATCTGTTCTTTGTGTACTTGATTTCTTTTCCTTTCAGTAGGCAGAATAATGACTTATTTGAAAGATGGCTGCAGACATCATTCTGCATAGATACTCAGTGATAATGAATCCTGTACAATCACTGAGCAGAATCGAGTTTATATTTTATTCCGATGCGTGGACATACACACCAATATTACTAATTAAAGTTCTTTGTGCACAGAAGGGAGAGGAGACTAGTGATTACAAAATGAAATTCAAAGCAGGGATTCAAATCTTTGGCATCTCACTCACACACACATGCACACACAGTCACTATTTTGTTTTTAATAAGCCAGCTGTGGAGTTTTTTTTTACCTGGAAAGGACACCTGATCCTAAAGCACAATCCACTCTGTCATTTTAAAGGTATAAGTTACATTTTATTTTACATTGTTTACAGTGTAATCCTATGCATGTTTATTTAAAAGTGTACCAACTCTTACCTTTTTGACCAATACGCACATGCTCATTTTCAAAGAGTTCTAAAACAGCAAGCAAGAAAGTGTGAAAAGTCCAAAACTATTACAGCTTAATAGTCATATTTACACCAGGATTTAGAACACACGTTCATAATACACATGTGCACTGAAGAGAACAGTTGTATGGCACCCTGGACAAGATTTAGTGGAGCATAAGCTACTTCAGATTTCCAGATCCAAACCTAGAGACTGCTGTCTGATCCCACACATACACAGCTGCACAGAAATAACTACCTGTCTGCTTTTCCAAGGTTGGAAAACTCAACTTAAAAGAATAAAGAGGGTGGTTCAGGGTGAGGGGAAGGGTGGAGACTGGGGCCATCAGGATACAAAGCTTTGTGATGGTGCTTCAGCAGCCTTCCCTCCCTTTCTGAAGCACTACTGTTAGATGGCAAAAATCAAAGCACCACACCACAGATTTATGACATACGTTAAGGTTATAGTAACAGTGTTCATTTCTAAGGTATCATAACCACTACTTCTTCTTGCTACTATGGATTCACCCTCCTAGTTTTCAACTTTTTAAAAATCAAGAGAGTTAATTAATATCCAAGGTGCTAGCACAAAATATAGCATAGCGGAGAACACAGGAAGGAAGCTTATATTTAAAGCAACGCAACAGTAAATACAGGGCCTTATAATCTATATATAATAGATCTAAGAAGACAATTTTCAGCAATATATTTAAGTACTTGCATGGGAAATATAGCAATTCATTTCCATTAAATACACTGGGAACATTTCACATGCACAAACTATACAGGGTGCCTTGTGGTCAAACGTGTAACTATCACTTAGGTAGAAAACATGTACCACTTAAGAATGCAAGTGGGTGCTCAAGGGACATTTATCCATGGGAGCAGGAAATCCTACATGTAGAATTATAGAAGGTGAGAGAGAAGGCTAGACTAGAACCCCTTTCTCTGTCAGCTATTCACCCATATGTAGCAATCGCTTTGCATGAAGACATATGAGCAGTCCCCAGTTGCTATCTGAAGCACTACAGCCCAAAGAAGCCTTATTACCTCAGTAAGGGTGGAGAATAACACTCCAGAATCAGACTATCAGGATGATGTATATTATTTTGACTTTGTAAATTTCCCAGAGAACTTTAGCTAATTGGTAGGTACAAACATTAATAAATAGATGCATTTAAATATTGGATAACTTTCAAATCAGACTTTCTACACTTGCAATAAGGTAAGGTTTGCTTTAAAATCCACATCAAAGCAGAGCTCCTGGAATGAAGATATTCAGTAGGTCTGGTGTCTCTCACTGTCATGACTTGCCAAACCTCCCCCAATAAACTATAAATAAACACACAAGAGTCCTCCCTGGATTTGGTGTTGGCAATAAAACTTACATGAATCCTTGTAAGAAATCATAAGAAACATTACAAGACAGCCACACTAACCTGGAGGCACATGTGCAGAATCATCAATATCCAACTGGCCCATGTTCAAGTCTAGTTCGCTGAAATATTCCTTCTTTGTGGAAAAATGCACAAATGAAAAAAAACAGTATTAACAAGCATAGAGATTTTTGAAATTATAACTGCATGTCAGCAGATCTTCAATCTGCTATCAATTATATTTACTTATTAATCCATGTAATGCTACATTAGACCATTTGTCAATCAAACACAACTCTCTGATTTCGGAGAGAATTCAAAGCCAATTTCTTACAAGCAGCATTGTGGCAAGTTATTAGTTTTTCGGCGCCAGGCTAAGACCTTTTTATCTAAAACTTATTTTAAGAGTTAATTTTTTGTGTAGGATTTTAAAAATTTTAAGCCGAGATGCACCGGGTTTTAATATTTTTGTTTTGGTTGTAAGCCGCCCCGAGGCTTTGAGATGGGGGCGGCATAAAAATGTTTTAAATAAATAAATAAGTATAGTCTACTTTAAGCAGACTTCCCATTCTGTTTTTGATCATATTCCAGGCACACTACCCTGTCCCACTATCTCAAGTGAAGAAACACACATGGAGGTTTGACCTTGTCTCCAATTGGTCCTAATTCAGCTTTTAAGTGGCATTGTAACATACTACCATTTATGTGTGAAACTGATGTTTTACACTAAAAGCTTCATATTTTAAAATCCCTCTTTGTGTGAATATTTACAATTTTTATAAACTTTTAAAATGTCTAATCTTTAAAAAAATTTAAATTGATGAAATCTTTTTAAATTTTTTTTTCAAAATGTAATATATAAAATGTATAAATTGGATGTGTCCCGGTGGTAAATCATTTTGGGAGTACTGCATTATGCACACTGCAACACCTTCATATTAGTTGATTCTAAGTTATCTATTTTTAAAAAATATGCAAACTAAACACAAAGTCACTCTAAGATCAATGGGTCCACAGCATTCTAATAAATTCACTCAGCCAAGAATATTATAATTCTACTATCTCATCTGCAAGTACAATGAAATAATGGAACGGAACACTATTTCACGCATATTGTTGCAACTCCAAGAACAAAACTTAGGTCCAATTGTTTGCTAAACATTTGTTGTTTATGTTGTTATTAATTTTATTTCTATACCACTCTTTGGCTGAAGTATTCCGGATGGTTTTCTTTAAAGCCATGGGCTGCGGAATCATCAGTACGCTGATGATATCCAGCTCTACCTCTCGTTTTCCACCAATCCAGGTGAGGCAATGGCTGTGCTGAACCGGTGCCTGGCCGAGGTAATGGGCTGGATGAGGGCCAATAAACTGAAGCTCAATCCAGACAAGACGGAGGTCCTGTTGGTGGGTGGCTCGGGCCTCGGGATGGGGGACTTGGGCCTTGTCCTAAATGGGGTTGCACTCCCTCTGAGGGACAGGGTTCGCAGCTTAGGAGTGCTCCTCGACCCTGAGCTGTCTCTAGAAGCTCAGGTGACAGCGGTGGTGAGGAGCGCCTTCCTTCCGCTTCGGCTGATACATCAGCTGCGTCCCTTCCCGGAGAACGACTGCCTGGCGACAGTGACACACGCGCTGGTAACTTCCCGATTAGACTTCTGTAACGCGCTCTACGTGGGGCTACCCTTGAAGACGGTTCGGATACTTCAATTGGTGCAGAACAGAGCTGCCAGGTTGCTGACGGGGACTGGGCGTTGTTCTCATATAACCCCAGTTCTCCGTCAGCCCCACTGGCTCCCGATTGAAGTCCGGGCCCAATTCAAGGTGTTGGTCATGACCTATAAAGCCCTAAACGGCTTGGGACCTGGATATCTAAAGGAACGCTTGCACCCATATATGCCCTCCCGCCCCTTGCGATCAGCAACGGATGCCCTTCTCCGGGAACCCTCTGTAAATATTAGGAGGGCGAGTACCCGGAGGAGGGCTTTCTCTGCGGTGGTGCCCCATCTATGAAATGCGCTCCCCAGAGAGGTCCGCCTGGCGCCGTCGTTACTTGTTTTTCAGCACCAGGCTAAGACCTTTTTATTTAAAACTTATTTTAATTGCTAAATTATTGTATTAGGATTTTAAAATTTTTAGCCAAGAATGCACCGGGGGTTTTTAAATGTTGTGTTTCTTTTTCTTCTTTTAATTGTCATATTATTATTATTTATGTATGTTTTATGTATTCTTTATGAGCCGCCCCGAGGCTTTGTTGCGATGGGGGCGACATAGAATGTTTTAAATAAATAAAAAGCTCCAAGATGAAACACTAAAGAATGGCCTTTTAAAGCTGGTGCTTTAAATATATGTATCAAATTTGTTTACTAATTCTCAAAGGCTATATACTTCAAAGAAAACTGGTACAATAATTTAAATTTAGACAATTTATTTATGTATTTATTTCATATTTACTTCCTAAGAAAACTCCTTTAAAAATGGATACTTACCAGTTCAGGGATATCCTTTACTTTCAATGGAACCTGAATTAATCCCAAGTGGTTTCTAAAACTAGGGTGCTCATTGTTTTCATAATTCGGATTGCGAAGGTTCATCAGTACCTTTAAGCAATATTACTGTAAGTAAGTATTTTATATATATTTGTCAAAAAATCAGGCAATATAAAATTGTTATGTCTGAAACTTTGGTTAGTGCATGAGTTTTAAGTTGTGGTGTGGAGACAAGCACTTGCCAGTTCAGACATGACAGCAAACTGGTTAACAAAAACATGAAGATGACATAGGAAGAGGGACAAAAAAATCTGAGGCGCACAAGAAGCAACATGTATTCCTCAGACCTGAGGTCAGAGCATGTAGAATTCACCTCAACAAGATGTGGCAGCTGTACCTGCTAGTTTAAGATAGCTTTTTATTATTACCATTTATATATATTACATTTCTATACTACTGAAATGTAATAGTAGTATAGAATACTACTATTAGTAGTATTCTAGTATAGAATACTACCATTAGAATACTACTAATGGTAGTATTAATAGAATAATTAATAGAATAATAGAATAATTATTCTATTAATTATTCTATTATTCTATTAATAGAATAACAGAATACTACTATTCTATAGTAGTATAGAATAGCTGTAATAGCTGAAGCTCTCTGGGTGGTTCATGAGATGATATAAAACAATAAAATACAATACATAATACAGCATTTAAAACATTTTTAAAAAATAATTCAAATAGCATTCAAATCTATTAACATACAATAAAAAGACTCAACCAAGAAGAAAGAAAAAAGGCACCTGGATAAACCCATCAAACTCCTGGATGACCCGGGAGATCTTTTTAAAAGGTTTAAGCAAACTAATAGTGAATGTGTCCATCAATGGCTATCACATAATAGCAGATGTGTGTGTGGTGGGGGACAAGACACACCACCATCATGCAGTTGCCTACACACTTCATTTATAAGTTCCTAGAAGCATTAGGCTAGAGTAGTAGTAGGACTGCACTCAGCAAACAAGGAAACTCCTATATTCTTTAGGACTAGGCAACTGCTACAGAATATTGCAATTTTACCCTGCTGTCCCCAACTTTCTTCTTTAAAAAATCTGTTTGGTTTAGTCAAAACAATCAAATTGCTACACTGGGGAGATAGTTCTTTAAGAAACCTGCATCCCCTATACTGGTAGTGCATTATTCCAGAGCAATAATACCCAAGAGTCAACTTTCACCATGGTTCATTTATCATCATGCAGCTACTGTCAATCATGGTATTCATTCCATCTCTAGGACTTATGACCTGTAAGAAAGGTCATAGCGACAGAAAGAGTGGGTAGATTATTCATTTTGCTTCTTTTGTTCATTTAAAAGTCCATACAGGAATAATTCATCTGAGTCTATATAGGACTATGGAAGTTTATACAAGTAGGCCAAGCTTTAAAAGATATGCAAAAACTGACAAGAAATGTGGGAACAGTAACAACAGAAACACAGAGATACAAAATAACACTGTTTACTTATGCCAATTGCTTTTATAAGGTTAAATTTAGTCATATTTAATTAGCCTTAATTGCAGATAAATATTACAGTTGCATTATAATTCAAGCCATCAGTAAAACTAAAGAAAAAAGTACAAGAGTTAGGTCTCACATGGTAAGCATCTATCATATCTGTACATGTGCAACACAATATTCATTCATATATGCATAATCTGCAATCCTAAACTGTGAAGAAATTCCTATCCATACAGGGACATTTTTCAAATATGACATATGATTTAATTTTTCAAAAAGCAATCCAGTTGATTATTTAGCCTAGCTATCCTATTTCTTATTAAGCAAGCTAATTAAGATTTATACTGCCTTATTACAATACTTATGGGGAAAAATATACCATTATATTTCTATGCTTTGAGGCACCCAACAGATTTTGAAGACCGTGGGTCTGAGTTCCCTCCATCAATGCTTTTCTATGGGGGGTTTAGCAGTACTTTTCAATCCTTCTTTGTACATGCAGCTTTCTTGCTGGCACCACTGAACTTTCTTACTTCTTAGCTATCCACAGAACAACGGTATCACTTCTGAATCTATCACCAAACAGAAAGCCAAACAAAAATCTATTACTGCAACAACCTTCAGTCTGCCACTGAGCAATAGTAAACAAGAAAGCCAGTGTGGTGTACTGGTTAACAGCACAGGACTGGGACTCAGGCAACCTGGGTTCTAGTCCCCATTCAGCCATGGAGCCAACTGAGTCATTTTGAGCCAGTCACAGACTCTCAGCCCAATCTACAACACAGGGCTGTTGTTGTGGGGATACGACTGGAAGCAGCAGGAAAATGATATAAGCTACTTGAGTTCTTAAAAAAAAGAAAAAGGCAGAATATAAAGCTAATAAATAAATAGAAAATGGCCCCAACCGAGACGATCTATGGTGTCTTCTAGTCAGAACAAAACACCTGAGGATATACATTTTTGAAGAGTAATAGAAACCCTGGGAGACGCCTCAGAAACCTATTGAGGGTTTGCCAATGGTAAGGCCAGTAATATAGAAGTTTTCCTGAAAAGCAACTTTCTGCCACTATTTACTTCCCTATTTAATATGCAGCTTCAATGCATTCCATGTCTCACATTCCATACACTAAAAAAAGTAGTGTGGCACAAAAGACCAACCAGTGTTCTTCATGAACTGAATGTGCATGTGAGAATGTGGCCTAGAACCTACAGCAATGTATGGGTTCCTCAGCAGGGAAATGTATGTGAAAAAGTTTCAGTGGTCACAGAATATTTGAAACCAGATTTCTTGGATATTATGAAGTAATGCAAGGGTGATAAAATGAACATTCCTGCTACTCAAAGAATGGTTTGTTGTTCTTCCCACAGATGAATAATATAACCTTTTAGGCAATTCTCAGTACTGCTTACAGAGCATTATACTTTACTTCCTTAACCAAGTGGTCACTTAAGTAGTCACTTTGAAGTCCCAGGATCTATACTGAAGATGACCGTAAATATAGTTAATTAATCCAGTGACTCCAATGACCCATTCTTGGCAACTATATTAATATCTTATTGTGTAAAGTTCTATAGATAAACTAAAGTTTTTCCAAATTACCTCAAGAAAATCTTTAGGTGCATAAACAGGCCGGAAGAGGCTTAGATCTGAAATTAACAAGATATATAAATTTATTTAATTAAAAGTATCAACAGGTTGTTCCCAGTTCACATTATTCTGCTGCAGCTCTTCCATCTGGACATTTTACTGTTAATATGTATAAAGTATAATATTTATTCAGAATAGTATACATTAGGACCACATTGAAGAATATGTTGAATAATAAGAATATTGTGGAGTATATAAAAGTTTATGACAAAGTATTATTTCTTATTAACAGTTATATACTACCCTATCTGATAAAAAGCCAGCATATTGGTGTACATCATTTAAAACAATAAGACCTTAAGGGAACTCCCTTGAGTTTGAACGGGGAGGGTCTTGGGATGCTTTTCATTCCCAAATTGTGAGCTGAAGACAACATTCAAACCCCAAAGTTGGGAATCCACACTCTGATTCCAATATCACCCCCTTTGCAGCCCATACTTGAAAGATCAGGAATTTGACCCTGCAGAGGGCTTAAAAAGGGAATTCTAGGCACAGGGGTAAGGAGAGACTGCAGAGGCTAGTGTATGATGGAGAGAAAGGCCTCCTTCTTTCTCACTCCAAAATATTCCAGCCAGATGACCAAAAATGGCCATGTAGCAGAAAGGCACAGTGGAAGTAGCAGAAAGGCACAGTGGAAGGAGCAGAGAGGGGACAATCACCTCTACTGCTCCTCCTCCTCTGCAAAGAATGCCTGTAAGTCTCCAAACATAGGGACTTACAGTTATCTCAACTGAACTGGACCCTAAAACAGTAAAAGCAAGAACGTTAAAACAGTAAAAACATTAAAACTTTAGAAATTTTATTATTTGTTATGCTATTTTAAACATCTTAGATTAACGTATTTTTAAAAGCTAAATGACAAGACATATTTTACACCCTTCCTAAAGGATAGGAGAGCTGCAGTCATAGGGCAACACAGGAAAAAAATCAACGTACACATGCCCAACAAATGGAGCTCTGCACAAGTGTAACCTCAAAAGGGCGTCTCCTGCATAAGTCATTGTGAGGCAGGAGGTCTCTTAGATAGTCAGATCTTAAGCCATTCAGGAATTCAAAGGTTAAAATCAGCTGTTTGAACGGTGACTCGGAAAACACTGGCAGCCAGTGCAGGTACTTCAGAACAGCTGCAATATGGTCATGATACTGTACCCCAATCAGTAGCCCAGCTGCCATATTTTGTAATAACTGTAATAACTGAAGAAGTGGCCCCCAGATAGAGCACACTGCAGTATTCTAAATATGGTGTAACCAAGGCATGGATAATGGTTACAAAGTCAGATTGATTCAGAAAAGTTGCAGCTGGCACATCCAGCATAATTAGGAAAACCTTGTCACTACTGCCACCAGAAGATGCAGGATCAATATAGGATCAAGGTACTTCCCAAACTATGGATCTGATCCTTCAAGGAGAATGCGGCTCCTTCCAGGACAAGTTGAATCCCTTTCTGCTTACCAACTCCACTTTCATCTTGCTTTCTGTTCTGCACTGACAAGTAAAACAGCCATCTTTCTTAAGCAACTAGATATAACAGTGTGGTACACTGCAGACTACAAAGTACATAGAGTTTTCAAATCCATATAGGTTAAATTTTATCTCTTCTCTCTTTAGTCTTTCTGCCCAACCCATTTGCCTTTTTCCTCAACCAGCTAGCTGGCCAGTATGACCAATGGTCAAGAATCCTCACAGTTGCAGCAAAAACATCTGGAGGTTGAGGAAGATTGACATGGAACATGTGGCAGCTTCAAAGCTCTAGCTATTCTTGGGGGAAACCAATTTTCCAAAATTTTGCAGTCTGGTTTCCAGCCTAGGTTTGGGACTGAAACTGCCTTGGTCTGTTTAAGACAATCTGCCATGGTATGTCTAAGGGAAGGGCAATTTTGTTAATTCTCCTGAACCTCTCAGCAGGTTTTCATACCATTAAACACACAGCATCCTTCTGAACCACAATTTCAAAAACAGTCTCAGGTTAAAATTTGGTAAGTGTTGCACTGATGTAGTACAAATATCTGTATGGTTTTAATTTGCATAAAGCAGGACTTACATACCTGGCTCGTCTGTCCCCATTTCATTCCATTTATTTAGAAGTTCTTTTTGCTCATTCACTGATCTCTGGGAATCATAAAAAGCAGTACAATAAACAGGTTTTACAATCAACCCATCAAAATAAAACCAATGCAAGTCTTTATTAGTTAGAATTCAAAACACATTTAAGTTGAAATACAAATCTTACCCCTTCTGATGAATTATGACTGGACATGATGATGGTTACATTCTCAGAAAAAGGAGTGAATAAAAGGAGTTACCTTTTGTGCTAATGGAATGCCAAGTTCTGTGCACATATTATTTAGGCTCTTCAGAATACGTTTTTCCCAGTTTCCCTGCAATAGATGACAAAAATCAGTGGGTTTGGGTTTTCGGTACAAATTTTAAAATGGCATGGTAGGTGCCCTATTTTTATAAGCAAGCATCTCAGCTACTGCCTAACTGCCACCAAGCTGTTGTCTTGGGAAAGATGCTGTTTCAGATTGCTACTGATACTGGTTTACCATACAGTTTTGCCAAAAGTCTCCACAGAATGATCTGCAGAGGAAAGTTCTCTTTCCCTCAAGCTCAGAAAGAGTGCTGAGTTCATCTCATACTTGAAAGAAAGAGCATGTTCTGAAGGTGAAATGAAACATGTATATACATATGTTTGCCCCCTGTGTTCAGTAAACAAAACACAGAAGCAGCTGTGGAAAGCTGTATTTTTAATCAAAGGAAAGCAAGAGGGAGAGAAATTGCCCTTCCCCCCTCTTGACCATTTCTCCAATCAAAACCTTGCCTTCAGCTTCTTTTCCACCAATAGGAACAAAACACATACAGGAAAATAATACAGTGGAGGGGGGCAATTTTGAGGGGGGGAAAAGCAGAGAAGAAAGGAAAAGCCACCAGCACCTTCCCACCACTTCTCAGTTTAACACATGGGCTTCCTCCACATGTTTGCTAAAAAGAAGAAAAAAAAGTTGCACAACACATACAACTGTTTATGTTCCAACCGATATAATGCATTTTGTGACCACAGCAAGTAAGGATGCATGGAAAGTATGACTTATCTATACAACTGGGAACAACTGCAATTACCCCAGGTTAAATTCTACCTCTGATTTTACAGACCACCTTGTTCTGTGTTTTCATTCAGTAGAGTCTGGTGAATGAAAATTATTTGCTACTGTGTTTTTGATCACAATATTGAGACATATTTTTTCATATAATTGCAAGTATTCAGGTCATTTATCATTTTAAGCACTAATGGCTGAAACCATCTGATCTTATAATATTAAATTTATTTTTATTTAAATAAAATGACTTTCATGTTCTGAAATAAATTATATTTTTAATTGCTCATTATACATCAAAATATCTCAAGTGGGTTTTGTTTGTTTGATATTTGGCACATCTTCATTCAAAAGATAAAGCCCAAAGTAAAGCAAGAGCACTATAAAAATTAAAAGCTAGTATGATTAAGCATTCTCATTCAACTATAATAAGAGTCCTCAAATTAAGAGCTCCTGGTTTTGCCTAAACTGCTGTACAGATGAAGCAATAAAATTTAGTTAAATTTGTCACATTTTTTAAAATGTGTTTTTCACAATTCTGTAAGTCTGCTCATTTTTCACATTACATTCATAAAACAAGCCCTTTGTTCCCTCTGGGTACTACCATGAAATGCGACACAACTATTCGATTCCAATTGCATTGTGTGATCTTTAGCATGTTTACTTACTTTATTCATTATATCCCACCTTTTTTCCTTCCAAGGAACTCAAGGAGGCTAACATAATTCTCCTCCTCCTCTCAATCTTATCCTCCCAACAACCACCCGGTTGTTTCAGATTCAGCTGAAAATCTGTGTCCGGCCCAAAATCTCAGCCAGTGAGTTACATGCCTGAGTGAGGGGCTGAACCCAGATTGCCTAAGTCCCAGTACCACACCACCACACTGGTTCTTGGACAAATGGTAATGAATTCAATCTTACTAAACTCAGTATTGGTCTGTTTCCTGAATAAACCAACAGTGAATTCATTCTTCAAGCACTTTTCCCTTACATAGCAAAACAGCACTATCCATGGAGAAAAGGGACATATTAGGGGGCAGGAAAATTCAAGGCTAGCAAAAGTACTTTAAAAAAATTCCTGGGAATAAAAACCTGAAATAGTCCAGTGAGGTCTGAGGATGCCTCACTGGCTGACTGTGGGGTGAGAAGGATGACAGGAAAAGTGGGGTGAGGGATGGAAGCAGGCATGCAGCAGGAATACAGAAGCACTCCATACTGAAATATTTTGCTGCAGGTCCTATTTGTATTAAGAATTGTGCAGAGTTGCTTGCATCAGAAAAGATATATACAGATATACAGGATATACAAATAATCCAGTACAAAGAGTAAGATTTAATCACAACAAACCTGGGCTTTCCTCATGTAAGCCAAGGATTCTTTCATGTGTTCAGGAGGTGCTGATGGATGGTATGGTAATGGGAAACTTGAAAAGAACAAAAACAGTTACCTTTTACTACATGAATGATTTCAACTTACTGTTCAGGGTAAATCTTTGATGATCAATTTTTTCCCCATCATCATTATAATTTTCAGACACTGATTCTGTATCAAACAATCATAATCGGTCCATGGCCTCCAGCCTTAAGAAACATCATTAGAGGCAAGTCATATCACATTGCAATAAAAACATGCTGAAAACATAATTTACTAGAAATATTAAGCACTGATGTCCACCTGAGACAACTGCACATCCATAACACCACATTTTTCAATCCTGCTCATAGTATTGGGATTTTAATAAGTAATAACCCCTTACACCTTCCTAAAGTAAACTTAACTTCTTTTTATACTAAAAATATTTTGGAGTGAAGAGGCAGGGAGCTGATATACTTCCTACCCCCTCACTAAAATGCTGTGCCAGAATTTTGTTCAATAAAAATGAGGATAGTGTACCGAAAAAGCTCTAGTTCATTACGTAGTCATGTACTGCTCAGAACGTATTTTCTAGCCCATCAAGTTGGGGTACCAGGCTGCCAGACTATATCTGAGATAGCCAACTTGTTCAAGGTTGGGGTAACAACCCCTCACCCAACCATGACATCACTATTTTCAGGCTCTTTTTTCATAAACCTTGCTAAGTTGGGGAAGATTATAAAAACTTGCACTAAATATCTCAAATGCCTCTTGAGTAGCCTATCATTCAGCACTGAGAGGATACCAGCCTACCAGGAATGCTGCTATCACTGATCTGTATCAGCCTTCCACAAGCTCGAGATGCCTTGGACTACTCATCCTACCATTCCCATACCAAGGCTTATAGAAGCTGTAGCTCAAGACATCTGGAAGGCCCCAGGTTAGGGAAGGTTGAACTACATAAATAAAAGCTAAAGGCTGAGTAAACTTCAACCTTGAATCAAAAATAAAGCTTGAATGGATACTAGTGTTACAGGGATACTTCATCAAAAGTAAAGGATGTAACATTATGGAAATTTTGAAGCCAGAAGAAAAAACATGGGGGGAGGCAGCTCTGAGGGGTATTTTTAGGGGGGAAATATCCACAAATTTGGGGGGAAACTGAAATATGTTGCTGTTAGTTGCGAAGTTGCGTCTGACCCATCGTGACCCCATGGACAACATTCCTCCAGGCCTTCCTGTCCTCCACCATCCCCTGGAGTCCACCCAAGCTCACACCAACTGCTTCAGTGACTTCATCTAGCCACCTCATTCTCTGCTGTCCCCTTCTTCTTTTGCCATCTATTGCTTCCAGCATCAGGGTCTTCCCCAGGGAGTCCTTCCTTCTCATTAAGTGGCCAAAGTATTTGAGTTTCATCTTCAGGATCTGGCCTTCTAAAGAGCAGTCAGGGTTGATCTCCTCTAGGACTGACTGGTTTGATCGTCTTGCAGTCCAAGGGACTCGCAGGAGTCTTCTCCAGCACCACAATTCAAAGGCCTCAATTCTTCGGTGCTCAGCCTTCCTTATGGTCCAGCTTTCACAGCCGTACATTCATTCATGAATTCTTATTTTATTTTATTTTAATGTATTTAAAACATTTTTATGCCGCCCCCATCACAACAAAGCCTTGGGGCGGCTTACAACAAAAACAAAGATATACAAAATTATACAAAAACAAAGTTATACAATAAAAATATTAAAAGCCGGTGCATCCCGGCTTAAAAATTTTAAAATCCTACACAATAAATTAACACTTAAAATAAGTTTTAAACATTGCAACTGGGAAAACCATAGCCTTGACTATACACACTTCTATCGGCAGGGTGATGTCTCTGTTTTTTAGTATGCTGTCTAAATTTACAATAACTTTCCTCCCCAGGAGCATGCGTCTTTTAATTTCTTGGCTGCAGTCCCCGTCTGCGGTGATCTTGGAGCCCAAGAAAGTAAATTTTGTCACTATCTCCATTTCTTCCCCATCTATTTGCCAGGAAGTTATAGGACCAGATGCCATGATCTTAGTTTTCTTGATGTTGCATTTCAAGCCAACTTTTGCATTCTCCTCTTTCACCCACATCAAGAGGCTCTTTAGTTCCTCTTTACTTTCTGCCATTAGAGTAATATCATCTGCATATCTGAGGTTGTTGATATTTCTCCAGGCAATCTTAGATTCAACTGGTTATTCATCTAGCCCAGCCTTTCTCATGATTATTTATTTATTTATTTATTTATTTTTCGATTTATATCCTGCCTTTTTCCTCAAAGGACTCAAGGCAGCTTACATCATTCTCCTCCTCCATCTTATCCCCACAACAACCCTCTGCATATAAGTTAAACAGGCAGGGCATCAGTATACAGCCTTGCCATACTCCTTTCTCAATTTTGAACCAATCAGTGGTTCCGTGTCCAGTTCTCAGTGTTGCTTCTTGACCAGCATCTAAGTTTCTCAAGAGACAATTAAGATGGTCTGATACTTCCATCTCTTTAAGAACTTGGCACAATTTGTTGTGATCCACACAATCAAAGGCTTTAGCATAATCTATGAAGCAGAAGAAAGACATTTTTCTGGAAATCCCTAGCTTTCTCCATGATCCAGCGTATGTTGGCAATTTGAGCTCTAGTTCCTCTCCCTCTTCAAAATCCTGCCTGTTCTTCTGGTAGCTCTCGATCCACATACTGCTGGAGTCTAGCTTGTAGGATTTTGAGCGTAACTTTGCTAGCATGTGAAATGAGTACAATGGTGCGGTAGTTTGAACATTATTTGGCGTTGCCCTTCTTTGGGATCAGAATGTAAACTGACCTTTTCCAATCCTGTGGCTATTGTTGAGTTTTCCAAGTTTGCTGGCCTATTGAGTGTAGCACTTTTACTGCATCATCCTTTAGGATTTTGAATAGCTCAGCTGGAATAGTGTCACCTCCACTAGCTTTGCTGTTGCTCAGAATTCCTAAGGCCCATTTGACTTCACATTCCAGGATGTCTGGCTCGAGGTCAGTGACCACCCCATCGTGGTTATCAGGGACGTTAAGTTCTTTCTTGTATAGTTCTTCTGTGTAATCTTGCCACCTCTTCTTAATCTCTTCTGCCTCTGTTAGGTCCCTGCCATTTTGGTCCTTTATCATGCCCATCTTTGCATGAAATGTTCCCTTCATATCTCCAATTTTCTTGAAGAGATCTCTGGTCCTCCCTATTCTATTGTTTGCTTCTATTTCTTTGCACTGTTCATTTAAGAAGGCATTCTTTTCTCTTCTAGCTATTCTCTGGAATTCTGCATTCAATTCGGTGTATCTTTCTCTTTCTCCCTTGCCTTTCGCTTCCCTTCTTTCCTCAGCTATCTGTAAAGCTTCCTCAGACAGCCATTTTGCTTTCTTGCATTTCTTTGGGATGGTTTTAGTTGCTACCTCTTGTACAACATTGCAAACCTCCGTCCATAGTTCTTCAGGCACTGTGTCTATCAGATCTAATTCCATAAATCTATTTGTCACTTCTACTGTATATTCATCAGGAATATGATTTAGGTCATACCTGAGTGGCCTAGTGCTTTTCCCTACTTTCTTCAATTTAAGCCTAAATGTTGCAACAAGAAGCTCATGATCTGAACCACAGTCAGCTCCTGGTCTTGTTTTTTCTGACTGTATAGAGCTTCTCCATCCTTGGCTGCAGAGCACATAGTTAATCTGATTTCTGTGTTAACCGTCTGGTGATGTCTGTGTGTAGAGTTGTCTCTTGGGTTGTTGGAAAAGAGTGTTTGCTATGACCATCATATTCTCGTGACAAAATTCTACCAGCTTGTGCCCTGCTTCATTTTGTACTCCAAGGCCAAACTTGCCTGTTATTCCGGTTATCTTTTGGCTTCCTGCTTGAGCATTGCAATCCCACATGATGATAAGGACATCATTTTTTGGTGTTAATTCTAGAAGGTGTTGTAGAACTGGTCAACTTCAGCCTCTTCAGCACCAGTGGTTGGGGTACAGACTTGGACTACTGTGATGTTGAATAGTTTGCCTTGGATTCAAACTGAGATCATTCTGTCATTTTGGAGGTTGTATCCCAGTACTGCTTTTCCTACTCTTTTATTGACTATGAAGGCTACTCCATTTCTTCTGAGGGATTCTTGCCCACAGTAGTATACCTGATGGTCATCTGAATTAAATTCACCCATTCCTGTCCATTTTAGTTCACTGATTCCTAAGATGTCGATGTTCAGTCTTGTCATCTCTTGTTTGACCACATCCAGCTAGCCTTGATTCATGGATCTTACATTCCAGGTTCCTATGGTGTACAGATCTTTACAGCATCGGACTTTCCTTTCATCACCAGATACATCTGCAACTGAGTGTCCTTTCAGCTTTGACCCATTTGCTTCATTCTTTCTGGTGCTACTAGTACTAGCCCTCTGCTCTTCCCCAGTAGCATATTGGACACCTTCTGACCTGAGGGGCTCATCTTCCGGCATCATATCTTTTTGCCTTTTGGACCGTCTATGCGGTTTTCATGGCAAAGATACTGGAGTGGGTTGCCATTTCCTTCTCCAGTGGATCACATTTTGTCAGAGCTCTCTGCTATGACCTGTCCGTCTTGGGTGGCCCTGCATGGCATAGCTCATAGCTTCATTGAGCTAAGCGAGCCCCTTCGCCATGACAAGGCAGTGATCCACGAAGGGAAACTGAAATATATTCAGTATTTAATTTCTTATCAAGCTTAAAGTAATCATTGTAACACAAAATGCATGAAGTATATACCATTTTTTAACTTGGCAAATTTATAAAACTTATAGCAATGTATGCAAGTTTACTCAGATGTACAGCTATCTCTGTTTAGGGCACAATTCTACATACATTTAGACAGGCAGAAGTCCTACAAGTTCTAGCTTGCCTCAGCCAGGCATAGTTATTGGGCAATACTGAGACTTGCAGGATTTTTTCCTATCTAAACATGCATGGGATTGTGCCCTAAAAGTTACTACAAATGACACAAGCAAATATGAAGACAAACAGAACTATGCTTATGCAAAAATGCAGACAAAAACAAACTCACACACTGAGTTCACTATAAACAGCATTCTGTAGCTTCTTTTCCCATCCTGGTAAGATAAGAGTTTAGAAAATGAAGATTAGCAGAACTTATACCATAAAAATGCCACCAACCCTCTTTGATGTTAGTGAAATGGTGGCTGCACTTGACATAGAAGAGGGACATTGCCTGCATGGCACATGGGGCTTAATTCCTGCTGAGCACCCAATGAATACTGGGCATAGTCACCAGAAGCTCAGAATCAAGGCTACTGCAAAGCAGATTGAAGTCCGAGGACCCAAGCTGAAGGAATAAACAGATTCCTAACCCAAATGGATTCCTCACACATCCCTAATCTAGATCGATTTCAGCTGTGGTTCAGGTTGCGGATTGGCACACAACCAGTTTTGGTTGCCCAGTACAATCTATATTGGTTAAAGAATAGGGGGAGTGTTGACTCTGGCTAATATCCTAGATCTCATGGCATCTTTCAATACCATCAAACATTATATCCTTCTGAGATTACAGTATGAGCTGGAACTTGGGGGTACTATACTGCAGTGGTTTTGTTTCTACTTTGGAAGCTGGCTCCAGAAGGTGAGGCTTGGGAATATTGTTCAGTCCCAGCATGGACTCCTCAGGGAGTGGTCTTATCCCAAATGCTATTTAACTTCTATGTGAAACTGCTGAGACGGGTCATCCAGAGTACAGCGTGTACTCCCATCAGTACAGAGAGGGTATCAGCTCTTATTTCTTCTTTTCATTCTCATTAATTGAGACTGTGGACATGCTAAACTGGCTGCAACAAGCTAATAAACTGAAGCTCAATCCAGAAAAGACATAGCTGTTGTTAATGGGTGGTTCTACTGACTGCCCAGAGAGTTTTCAACCTGTTCTGGGTGGGGTTACATTCCTGCTGAAACAGCAGGTTGATAACTTGGAGGTTCTCCTTGAGCCATCTTTGTCATTCAATGCTCAGTTGGCCTCAGTGCCAGGCAGCCCAGTTACACCCCTAACTGTACAGGTTTAGCCCAGTTTCTGCACTCTGGTAATCATTAAATTATACTCCTACAATGCACTAGAAGTGGGGCTGCCCTTGGAAACTGTTCAGAAGCTACAGCTTCTACAAAATATGGCAGCCAGATTAATAACCAGGATCCAAACTTATAAGACCAATTCTGGCCTGCTTGTATTGGCTGCTTATATGCTTTCAAGTCCAATTCAAAGTACTGGGTTTAACCAATAAAGCCCTACATGGCTTGAGTCCACAATACCAGATGGAATGCCTCTCCCTATCTCAGTTTACCAGGGCACTATTATCTATACTTGAGGCCGTTATCTGATCCCTACATTTTCAAGGGAGACCAAGAATGCGGCTACAAGAAGCAGGGCCTTCATAGTAGTGGTTCTGCAATTATGGAACAAACTTCCCACTATGGCTCACCTGACTTATTTATTTAAAACATTTTATCCCATCTAATATCCAAGACAGATCCCTAGACAGCTTAAAAAGACAAGAATCCTAACAGTGGATTAAATAAAACATAATCTTCAATATATAGAATGCCCAGTAAAATCAATGCAATCATTAAAATACTGAATGAATAAAAAGGGTGCGGCCAGGCACCAAAATGAATAAAGTGTCAGCACCAGGCATAACTCTCTGGGGAGCAGATTTTATAGCTGGGGCACTACTGCAGAAAAGACCCTTCCCCAGGAAGCAACTCTTCTAGCCTCTTTCAAAGAGGGCTTCCAGAGAAGGACCTCAGCAGAAGATCTCAAAGTTTGGGCAGCTGTATACGGAAGGAGATATTCCTTTAGAGATCTAGGTCCTAAACCATTTTGGGTTTTTTATGTCAATGTTAACACCTTCCATCAGAGTAAAGATGATGGACTGGCATTATGTGGTCTCCTCTGTCAGCTCTAGTAAGCAGCCTCACAGCTCTATTCTGTATGAAATACAGAACCGTTTTCAAAGGTAGCAACATGTAGTGAGTATTACAATAGACCAATTGAGAGGTTATCACAGCATAGATTACCATTGCTAGGTTCTGCCTGTGCAGCTAAGGACATAGTTGATGGACCAGCCTCAGCTGGTGGAAAGTGCTGCTCGCCACAGGGGCCACCTGAAATTCCAAGGATAGTTCTGGATCAAGGAGCACTCCCAAACTATGCACCCTGTCCCTTGAAGGGAGTACAACCCCATCCAGAACAGGGTGAATATCACTCACCGCCAGATAATCTGCCCACCAACAGTACCATCTTATCTGGATTAAGCCTCAATTTTTTGGTCCTCATCCTGTCCATCATGCATTCCAAGCACTGATTCAGAACCATCATCGGCTCTCCTGGATTAGATGAGAAGGAGAGGTAAAGCTAGGTCACGTCACCATACTGGCTACACTTCCACCCAAACCTCCAGATGACCTTTCCCAGTAGATGTTGAACAGCATGGAGGAAAAAATAGAACCCTGCAGTGCCCCATGGCATAATTGCCATGACGCAGAGCCAAATTCCCCCAGCACCACCTTCTGAAATCAGCTGACCAAGTAGGGGTAGAACCATTGCAAAACAGTGCCTCCAACTCCCAATTTGGACAGCCTATCCAGAAGGATACCATGGTTGAAGGTATATAAAGCCACAGAGAGTCTACGAGAGCTAACAAGGACACATTCCCCATTTTTCTGCCACACAGGGCCATCTCACAGAGCAACCAAGGCAATTTCTCTTTCAAAACCAGGTCTGAAAATGGACTGAAATGAATCCAGATGGTCAGTTTCCTCCAAGAGTGCCTGGAGTTGTCTGGCTACCACCCACTCAAGCACCTTACCCAAGAAAAGGAAGTTGGCCACCGGTCTATAATTGGTGACATCTTCTGGGTCCAGGTTCACCTTCTACAAGAGAGATCTGACAACCACCTCCAGTTTTACTATTGCACTTATGCTTATGAATTGTTGTGAACCACCCAAACTGTTTCAGGTATTGGATGATACAAAAATGAAATCAACATGTGGTCTACATGTTGCAATTCCCATCATCCTCAAAGGCTGATATTACTGGTTAGACTGACAGGAGCTACAGTCCCCCAAAATCTAGAGAAAGACATTTATTTTTCATTTATTTATTTATTTTTCGCTTTATATCCTGCCTTTTTCCTACAAAGGGCTCAAGGCAGCTTACATAATTCTCCTCCTCCATTGTATCCCTACAACAACAACCCTGTGAGGTAGGTTGGGCTGAGAGTCTGTGACTGGCCCAAAGTCACCCAGTTGGCTCCATGGCTGAGCGGGGACTAGAACCCAGATTGTCTGAGTCCCAGTCCCATGCTCTTAACCACCACACCACATTTATCATCTAAGCCAATCTGAACCATTCAATGGATGATATTTCAAGAAACTGTGTCTGTTTCCAATTAGTTGGAAGGAAAATATCCATTTTAATATAAATACTTTTGTTATTTTTATTGAAGAGAATTCCATCGTGTGATATTGCATCTGCAAGATGAAATGGTACAGCCCACAAACATAAGTAAGCAAGATGTCTCAACAATACTGTTTACATTGTTGGAGTAAAATGAACCTGTAAAAATTCATGCACCTTGTCATCAATGGACAGTAAAAAGGCAACTAAGCTTTTGATAAACTGGAAATGGTGGCTGTTTGTTTTCCCTTTCAGGTATTTAATATGGCATAAATGACTAAAGTTGCTATAAAATAGCTATATTGTCAAAATTTGTGCATACTAGTAACAGTAGAAAAATATTTACAAGGTGAGAGTTAAAAAATGCTTTGGGTAGGAGAATGATGCCCAAATATTTAGCAGTCAAGCAGATAGAAGATCTTAAAAAAGAATGAAAAAACAGAAACCTGATGCCTTCAGAAATTCCTTAATGTCTTCCTTCAAGGATTCCAGCTTAATCTCTGGATTGTGTAGACAGAGCTAACATAAAAAAAAGAAAGAAAGAAATATCAGCAGCATAAAATTTCTTCAGAAATTGTGAGATTCATCACTTAAATGGAAAGGGGCTGTGTTTAAGAAACAAGATTCTAAATAGTCTTAGTTAAGGCATATTAAATGTGGAAAAATATATTTTTCCACAGCAATATTTTTGAAAGCCCTCTTTGTTTCACAAATGGAAAGCCATATAGCTTGATGGATTGTGAAGAATATAACCCAAAGCCTCTTTGGATACACAGAATTAGTTGCTAGTTTTTTTGGATTCCAGCCAGCATGTATATCATCAGTGGTAAACATACACAAACACACACACAAAACAAGGATTCTGGTTATATGCTGTAGTCATATATAGGCTGGAAGATTCTGTGGATACTTCCTGTTCTGAAACCCCAGTTGCCACTACTCTTCCGCAAGGCAGCTTGAGGAGACATAGAAATCTTGGGAGGAAAAGAAGTACTTAGTCTTTCACCCACCCATCCCTTTTCCAGTTCTTCTTAGTCAGGTTCCAGACTTTCATAGTTGAAAGGACTGCACAAAAAGCAGCAGAGACAAAGAAGTGTAAAAGGCAAAGAGGTTGAACAGGTAAGATTAGACACCCTTCCCTCATCCACTTTTATTTTAACAAATTGCCTTCTTGTTAGTAATATCACTATGTGATATCAGACTAGGTTTTAATACACTAAATGACTTTATAACATATGGTTCTGTTTGCAGATAATGCTACAATTCTTTATCTAGTTTTTGTTGCTCCTTGGAGGTAATGATGAATACTTCCTTGCTAGCGCTTACCCTTCTCAGCACCTAGGTTTCTAGGTCATCCTACATCTTGTAAAGATTTTACTTTCTATTTCTCTCAGTAAGAGTCCTGGATTTGTTCAAACTCCAGTACTTCTATCCAAACCTTTCTGAACCAAAGCATTTTAACATGTGGTTGTTTGTTCTTGCACTGACAGTTACATGGGCTTCCCTATATGCAATGAAAAGGAATTTATTTATCAATACATAGTAACAATATTTTCAGAAGCAAATACGTCATGACTTTCAGTAAAGGAGGCATGCACAACATAACATATGCAGCACGACCTACAGACCCCAGGCAGGTAAAAAAAAAAAAAAAAAAAAACAGGAGCTAACTGAACCACTAACAAGCTACTCTGGTATACATAGACTATGCAAATACCAGAAGCCATGATTTTTGCAGGTGTTCCTTATGTAGATGTAAGGAGGCATCTGGATTTATCTGATGGTATCTCTTTAGGGATGCATTTGAGCTAGCAGTTCTTCATGTTACCTGCAGCTGTTATTCATACAAACATGAAGTTCACATTGTGGACTACAGGTAATCCATTTACTTGTATGTCCTTGTATAAAGGCTTGTATGTTTAAGAGCCAAATAAACAGTTTGTATCTCTTTAACAGATTTACTGTATTCTGGTTTTATTGCATTTTTAAATGTTTTAAAGGGCACTGCAGTCCCTTTTAGGGCCAAACATGACACTTCTTTTAAATCAGTTATTTTAAATAAAAAATCCATGAAATATAACTGATTTTTAGTAATTGATCAGAAGCCTTTTCTTGCTCCCCTTTCTATCCCTTTATCCAATACTTCTCCTTCAGAATTTGTGGGTTTTGCTTTGTTAAACCAAGACATTCCAGCTCTGCATTTGAGCACAGTTTATCCTCTAGGCATTTTGCTAATTTCATCAGCAAACCTGACTATACAATCCTCATCCTTCCATCAGCCAGGTGAATTAAAGAGAATCAGAATTCTTTATCAGAACCAGGTAAAGATCTAATACCACAAATGTGCAGTTTCAATATTTATTATGGTAAAAAGACAAATAAAAATGCACTGCACAATTCCAGGATGAAACAGCATATATGTGCAATAAACACACAAATATTTATGCTTTTACCTCCTTCTCTTTAATTTTTCTCCTCTGAGACAAAGTTATAGAAAAAAGTATAGAGACTCTCAGCTGCTTGCATTTACTGCAGAAGTTGAATTTGCCTTAAGATAAACATCCCATAAAGTACTTTTCTGTACTTTGAAAACTATGTATATTGCTTAAAATTACACTGCAAGTGAAAATCTTATGTTCACTTACCAATGAATAAATTCCAGTGAAGTCAGTGGCATACTTCCAAAAACATGCATGTGATTGGGCTGCAATGCTCAGAGAGCATCTTTAAATTGGACCTGGATTTGGACTTGAGCACCTCTTCAGAGGATGCCTTCAAACAGAGGATTGTCCTGTGATAAACATTCAACTAAAAGACTTAATATCCACTTTCTAGTCATCTTTGTTTTGAAACACCTTAAATTGTTCAATGTATTCAGAACTGTACTCAATTTAGTGTTACATGTATTGTAAATATTTCCCATCTAGTTGCTACAACTAACCAAAGCAGATAACAATCAACAAATATTAAAGGATTTCATAAAATGTGTGAAATGGAACTTATTAGTTACTATTATTCTTCAGGTATGTTGTTTGACCGATGTTTCCACTTCATCAATAATAAATATTTATAGCAACCCATGAAACTAAAGATCTGCTAACTTAAATTCAGCAACAGGTAAAAACCTAAACTGAAAAGATGACAGCAAAGAAAATTGCAGGAATCAGTAAACGCACTAATATATGGCACATAATATAGTAAGCAAGCTAAGAAGAAAACATAAAATAATGGAACATCTGGGCTTAGCTTTATAGAGGAGAGACAAACTAGATGATTCTTCAGGAAATAATTCCAAATTAAATGCATCAGTTGTCTTAACTACATAAATATAAATCTATATATAAATATCAAAACAAGTCAGAATCTGCATTGGAAGTGCCAGAGGCAGATAGAGCCCCATTAAACTGTAAATGTATAGATTTGTCAGTGATTTTTATTGATTTCTTAGATATACCTATTAAAAATGTTGTTTTCTATGACATCATTTCAGACCACATGATGTATACTAGTAAGTCTTAAGTTTTGCAAGGATGTACTGCTTAATGCACTTTACCCTTTCCTATGCATGAACACCACTAATTGGCAACATTACAGTTCACCTCCTTTTGTAGTCCCATAAGGCCTAATTTACACATGCGTGCTTAATTATTATTTATATCCCATCCATTATGCTTCAAAAGTTCTCCATCAATGCTAAAAGAAGTCAAAAACAAAAGTGAATGAAAACTTATTTACAATAGCAGGAGTAAATGAAATAAGTCTTTTCTAATACACAAATTCACAGAGAGGTCCACCTGGCGCCGTCGTTATTTGTTTTTCGGCACCAAGCGAAGACCTTTTTATTTAAGCGTCATTTTAATTGTTAACAATATTTGCTTATTTATCTGGCCAGGGTGACTTCTTTTATATTGTTATTTATTTTATATTGTTAATTTTATATTGTTATTTTTGTATTTTATTGTATTTTGTGTTGTGAGCCGCCCCGAGGCTTCGGCAAGGGGAGGCACAGAAATGTTTTAATAAATAAAATAAAATAAATAAATGCCTAGTAAATTTTTAAAAAAAGCAAACATGCACAGCTTTCTTAAAACTCTTGACAGTCAAACTAGGCTTAAATGCATGAAAGCAAACAGGGCAGAAGAGAAAGGCTAACCCTTCTCCAGTCTGCCATAGTCCCCCTCAAGCACTTCCCTTTGAAGCTACTATTAGAGACAATAGTAGTACACAGAGACAATATCTCACTGGCAGCACATTTGCTGATTGTGCTTGTTTCAAATAATTTAACTCCAAACACTTGGTGATGTTGCAAGAGGAACAAAATCTATATAGGAACTTCCAAACAAGATTTTTAGTTAGAGTCAGTGATGCTAATTCTGCCCACATTGTAAATAAAAACTTATTAATACAAACTGAGAAACAAAAATTCTCAAAACTAGAAAACTAACAATGACCCAGTTTGGAGATTGTGCGTAATCCTCATGGTTTCCTCATTTTAACATTACAACAATCTATGTTTTAAGAAACTAAAAAAGTTTTGCTTAATGCTAGGAAGAGAACAAAAAAGCAAGAGAGAAAAGAAGGAGCACAAAACAGACACAAAACTCACTGAAGTCCAATAAACTATGGTATATCAGACCCAGATTATTATGGCTGAAACAGGGCTAAAGATCTACTTCTAAAGCAAATAAAAGTTCACCAGTGAAATTCCTTTCCAGGCTGACTGATGTCAGTTTGCAACTTCTTTCAGGGACAATGGGTTCATATTACATGACAATTAACTGTTGTTGGTCAAGGCATGTGAATCCATTCTGGTTACCAACAATTGGTTCTTATCACAGATGACAAGCACAATAAGAACCTATGACTGTTTGAATCACAATGGCTTGTCATCCTAACTCAGACTCAGCTGCTCAAGTTCAGCAACAAGTGAGCTATTTGGCAAGAGTGGCAAAACCCATTGCTGCTCCTGCCAAGCAGCTATGTGGCAGCTGCCACTGCTAGCTACCCCAAAAGTGCCTTAACACAAGTGGGGGAGGCCAAAGTTTTCCCCATAACTGCAAAGATGAATCATTTTTGGCTCTCTCTCTCTCTCTCTCTCTCTCTAAGATACTGTAAAAGTTGGCTGTCCAATTGGCTCTCACAACTCCCCTTAAAGCAGCAGTGAGGACTATTTGTATTTTTAATTAAAATATTATGTGAAAATAACTTCACTCATTGTTTGTTTCTTTTAACTAGGCCTCCCTGATTTGCAAAAACTGGGCAGTGAATGTTAACACAGGAACCTGCTAACCAAATCAAGAAGTTACCCCTCCTATACCATGCCTACCCAGGCTGCAGATAGGGATTTCTCATGATCACCACCACCACCACCAAGCCTTTGACAGATATGATTATGATGTGCCTCAAGATTGGAAAGCAATGAACAACCTTTTTGCAAACAGGTCAGTTGCTCTGGTTTCCAAACATATCCCCTGGTTTTCACAGTGAGATCAAATGCCCTTAGACCCCCCTCAGTTTTGCCAGTGCCTCCCAGAGGCAAGATCTGGATGACATTGCAAAATGGAAGAAATTCCCATTTCAAAGACAAATCTCACCTTCACAGGTCCTGAGCTCTGTTTCTAAAGTGTGTTTTGGAAGGGGAAACAAGCAATAAAGGGAGTGGTACCTTCACCTTAAGAACATAAGAAGAGCCATGCTGGATCGGGTCAATTGTGTATCCAGTCCAGTACTTTCTTCACTTGGCAGCTAGCCAACTGCCCTCAGAATCCCTCAGATAGGACTTGAGTGCAATAGCACCCCCTGACCAAGTTCCCCAGCAACTGATGTTCATAAGTACATCGCATCTGACATTCAAGGTGACTTATAGCTTTCACAATTAATAGCCATTGACCATCTTCTCCTCTCTGAATCTGTCTAATCCCATTTTGAAGCAACAAAAGTGCGTATAGTCAAGGCTATGGTTTTCCCAGTTGCAATGTATGGCTGTGAAAGTCAGACCATAAGAAAGGCTGAGCACCGAAGAACTGAGGCCTTCTAATTGTGGTGCTGGAGGAGATTCCTGAGAGTCCCTTGGACTGCAAGGTGATCAAACTAGTCAGTCCTAGAAGAGATCAACCCTGGCTGCTCTTTAGAAGGCCAGATCCTAAGATGAAACACAAATACTCTGGCCACCTAATGAGAAGGAAGGACTCCCTGGAGAAGACCCTGATGCTGGGAACAATAGATGGCAAAAGAAGAAGGGGACAGCAGAGAATGAGGGGGCTAGATGGAGTCACTGAAGCAGTTGGTGTGAGCTTAAGTGGCCTCCGGGGGATGGTGGAGGACAGGAAGGCCTGGAGGAAAGTTGTCCATGGGGTCGCAATGGGTCAGACATGACTTCGCGACTAACAACAACAACAAATGTTGAAGCTCTCCAATTTGTGAGCAACACTACACCTTATGCAAGCAAATTCCACAGTTTATGCACTGTGTTTCCTTTTATGTATCTTAAATCTCTTAGCAATCAGTGTCATTGGATCACTCTGGTTTATTGTATTATGAAAGAGGGAGAAAAGTGTCTCACAATCCACCTTCTCCACAGATGCATAGTTCTGCACATTTCTATCACATCTCCCCTTACCCACCTTTTTCCTAAGCTAAACAATCTCAGCCACTTTCTTACTAAGGGAGTTGAGCCTTTTTTGCACTTGCCATTGTTATTTTTCCACTCTTCCCCTTAGAAACTAAGGATATAGTTGCAAGGAGCAACCACCTCTGCTTGCCTTCCTCATCACTCTGGGCAGTGGAGTGGGCCCAATACCCAGAGAGAGAGCAGGTGATCAATAAAGGGAAGAGAAAAAGTAACAGTAGAAAGAAGCAGTTATTTCTGAATAGTCTGGAAAGATAAACCTGCTCCTGATCTAAGGTGGAGGTCCTTCTTAGGGAGCCCTCCTTGAAGGAGATTAGGAGGGTGACTAACCTGAAGAAGGGTCTTCTCTGTGGTGGTGCCCTGGTTATGGAATGTGCTCTCCAGAGAGGTTCATCTGGTGCTGACACTCTATTCCTTTCAGTGCCAGGCTAAACCCTTTTTATTTTCCCATTTAATGTTTGATTAGGTTTTAATGTGGGTTTTATCTTATTGGAATTATTTGGATGCTGTGCTTTCTTTCATTTTATGCTGCTTTTACTGTAAGACTGCAAGATGCTAGTAGTTGGACGGTATATAAAAGCTTTAAATAAATAAAGTACTGACAAGCGAACACAGACTGCTGCTCCTTGCTATAACTACCTCCTCTTATTTAATGCCTGTACTTTTTCTGAGTTAATCAGTCAAAAAGAATAGGGCAGTTGTTCCATCTTTTCTTCCGTAATGGACTTTTGTAAAAAGAATTACATGGAAGTTGAAGGGAAAGACATGTGGATACACATGTGCAAAATTCCAAGAATGAGCATTGGCTGGATGCAGCCTATCTCTCAATTGTGTATGGTGACAAGAAGCTACAAAAACTGGGGCAGGTATGGAAGAGCTGTCTATTCCTTGAAACTACCATTTGCCTGTCAAGTTAAACAGAAAAGTGAACAGCACCTGTGCCACCTCTTTTGAATCTGGGTCAGAGAAATTGAAAGCAGTGCCCAGGAGTTCCCAATGACGTCTTCTGCAGGTGTTTTCTTAGGCAGCCCACTAAGGCTGATGATGCTGGGGTCTCAGCAACTGCCCAGCTGTGCTCAACTCTTACCACACTTGTGTATGTCTCTCTGTATGCAGGATGTGTGTAATGCACTCTGAACTGTCAGGAATGTTCTGTCAATGATGATGATGATGATGATTAAGGAGAGGAAGGCACAAAGAAAGACTGGCTAAATAATAGATCAAACAAAAGAGAAGAATAACGGAAGAGACGGGAACCAATATAAAGCGCAAAGATTCTATATTAGAACAGAAGAGAAACGGTGAGGAGAAGAGAGATAAGCAGGGGAGAAGCAGGGGAAAGAGGACGGCGAGGGATGACGAGAAAATGAGAAAGAAAGAAAAAAGTGGGGGGGGAGGACACCGAAAAGCAGCTCTAGCAACCTCACCCGGGCCTGTCGTTCCAGCTGCGAGTGAAGTCCGGAGCCCTTCAACCTCTGCACGATCTGGGCAATGGTGAGTGAGAGGCCGCCATCCTGGCCTAGCATGATTCTCTCAGTCACGCACCCGCACAGCAGGCGAGCGCTCTCCTTGGCTCGTCAGTCCCTTCAGGTGGGTTTGCGCAGCAGGCGGACTAATTTCATCGACGTCCACGCCTAGGCCAGGCTCAAGCTACCAAGGCGTTGCCAAGCAACGGCGAGGAGTCGGCGCTTCAGTTGCATTTCCGTCGAAAACAGCTCCGTTGAAAGTAAAGTTCCGCGTCCGACCTACAGTCAATTTGCAATCTCTGTCCTCTAGCTCTAAAACAGGACTTTATTATTACGAGTACTGACAATGTGTTGCTTCCCCTAAAATTACACGATTAAAAAAATAACCTCTGCCATGTGTCTTGCACTTATCTCTCAGTTCTGACATCTGATATGGCAATATTCAAAAAACAGTAGGAGAATATTTCTTCCCAAGACACTCTGCTTCTGAGCTTAAGGTGCATATTCCAGAAAGCAGGAACTTAAAAGGGAGACTGCAATATGAAATCACTAAAAGTTCATATCTAATATCTGTAGCTCAAATTGGGATGATGGTTAATAAACATGAAATATGTTTATTAACTTCCCAATGCCAGAATATTTGTGTCATCACCAATAGTGCTAATTGATGTGCTATATTGTTACCACCAATAAATAGGCATCATTAAGGCATCATAATTTTCATTATCCATAATTTTTTGCGTTTTATTTTCCTCTGCCCTCACTGATAGCAATCTCTCTCACACACACGGGGGGGGGGGGGTAGTATGCACACCCATTCACACACACTTACACTTTAGGATAACACCACATGCATCTGAAGAAGTGGTTTCCAGCCCACAAAAGTTTATGCCTTAATAAATGTGTTAATCTTTAGGTAATGATTTCCAGAGCATTGCGGAAAAAACAGCAAAGAGCCTTATGGCCCCATAAAATCTACAAATGCAGGCTACAGTCCATGAAGTCTGTTGTTGTTGCTGTGTGCTTATAGCAACCTTTTGAATGAAAGCCCTCCAAAATATCCTATCTATGACAGCCCTGCTCAGCTATTCCAAATTCAAGTTTGTGGCTTTCCTAATGGTGTCAACCCTTCTCAAATCGGTGAACTGCCCAGAAAGACTTATGGCTAATAAGTCTTAGATAAAAATCTAATAAATAAAGTCAAGAATATTACCTTATACATCAATAATATATGATATGCAGATAACACAATATTACTGGCAGAAAGCAGCAATGAATTGAAATGACTCCTGATAAAAGTTGAGAAGAGAGTCCAAAAGCAGGACTGTAGCTAAACAGTAAGAAAGCAATAAATTATGGCTACAGAAGAATTACACAACTTTCATGTCAACAGTGAAAAAGTTGAAATTGTGAACGCTTCTGTATATCATCATCTCAAAGGGAGACCACAGCCAAGAAGTTTACTTGGAAGGGCAGCAATGAAAGAACTAGGAAAAAGCATCATGTATGAGGATGTTTCACTGCAGACCAAAGCCAAGATCATCCACACTATTATATTCCTGATCACTGTGTAGGGGTGTGAAAGCTGAACAGTGAAGAAAGCTGACAGGAAGAAAATTGATGCATCTGAAACATGGTGCTGGAGGAGAGCTTTGTGAATACCCTGGACAGGCAGAAAGAGTAACAAGTGGATCCCAGGTCATATCCAGACAGAGCTTTCCTTAGAAGCAAAAACCAAGGCTGTTGCACTCTGGGCACATTTAGAGAAGACAGAACTCCCTGGAGAAAACAATTGTGCTAGGGAAAGGGAACGGCAGAAGAAGAAAAGGAAGACCAAATGTTTTATTATTTATTATATTTTTACACTGCCCATCAGCTCAAAGGCTCCCTGGGCAGTTCACAGAATTAACTATGGGATGGACTGATGCCATTAGGAAAACCACAAACTGGAATTTGGAAAAGCTGAGCAGTGCTGTCATGGATACAATGCAATGGAGCTAAATGAGTACAATGATCCTAAAGTTGCTGTACTCTTGCAGATCCTTTCATAGGTGCTAGAATGTATACTGAATGGTTCCAGACTGTTATTTTATTTATTTATTTTTTAAGACTTTTGTCTTTCCATATTTATTGTAATATTCTAAGAATATTCATCTTAGTGTTGTACCAATTCAGTCTCTGCAGCTTGGAATTGTTCTGTTGGTACCCTATCTATTCTGGGTATTTTATTTCTTCCAAGTCCTTTCAGAGCAGCTTTCACTTCACTTTCTGATACTGAATGTTCTTCCTCATAGGATACCTCTTCAAAGGAGTCTGCCATCTTTTCATCTCTTCTGCTGTTCCATGTTCCCCTATTGGTCTTTTTGTATCTACATGATAGTTGCTGAAAAGTTTCCTTCACAATTCTAACCCTGTTTCTGTCACCTTTTGCTTTTGTTTCTCCCCTGTCCTTGACAGTTGTGTTTCTTATGTCCATCTAGAATTTTCTTTCTTTTTGCTATATAAAATGTATTTTCACATTCTCCCTATGGTGTTCTTTCAAATTCTCTGGTTTAAATTTACAATTCTGATTCACAGTCAACTGAATATTCAGTAACACAAATCTATTGTTATGCAGACTTTACATTATTCAGGAATGCTGTTTAAATTGCATTATGACTCTATGCTTCTGTTAATGATCTTTTTCAGCTATAGTCTAATTTTTTCTTATTATTTTACATTAAGAATTCATGGTCACTACCACAATCTGCTCCTGTTCTTGTTTTGGCAGCAAGAAAAAATCTTCTCCATCCTATATGGACAATTATGTCGTCTATTTGATTTCAGTATTGGCCATCTTGTGATGGCCATGCATACAGCCCTCTGATCAGTTGTATGAATTATGTATTTGTAGTAATAAATTGCTGTCTTCACAAAATTGTATGAGTCATTCTTCTGCTTCATTTCTGACTCCTGGGACAATTCTCCTACAACATTTGTTTCTGCTTTGTTTTCTACTTTTGCATTTGAGTCACCTATTATGATTGGCGTATCTTGCTTTTCATGTGTTTCCGTTTCCTCTTGGATATTTTCATAAAAGTTTTCAATTTCTTCTTCAGCATCTGCTGCTGGAGCATAGATATGAATTCTGGTTGTACTGATAGGCTTTCCAAGAATTCTGATTGGTATTATTTGGCTGGACATTGCAATATAGCCTTTAATGACCTCTCCTATATCCTGCCTCAGTATTTGAGCCACTCTGATTCATGCGAGTTTGTCATTTCCAGAGTAAAACAATTTGGGTTTGTCTGACTAGGAATACCCCAATTCCAAGTTTACATTAGTTTACTCACACCAAGTACTCCAATATTTAGCTGTACCATTTCTTTGTTTATAGTTTCCAGTTTGCTTTGATTCATATTTGTCATGTTCCATGTTACAATTGTATGTGTTGTGCAGCGCTGGAGTTTCACCTGTGCACATGATAGCCACTACTTCCTCTCTGATCTACTTTCTGCACCTTTAGTGACAGCACTATTTGTGCTTTGCTCTTTACCAGTAAAAGTTTGAGAGCCTTCCGACCTAGACAACTCATCTTCTGGTACTGACTCTTGTTTAATTTTTGATTGCTTCATAATAGGGTTCTCAAGATAAGAAATATTCAGAAGTGTTTGCCATTTCTTTCTTCTCCACAGTACTAACCAGAATTAACATGAGTGCTACTACCGTTGTCTGTGAAAGAGGCTCCTCCTGGGTCACCTCTAGTTACCATTACTGCCCAGTAGCTGCCCTTCAGGAATTGTTCTGCCCCATCAGCATTAGAAATATACATCCCCTTCTGCTGATAACTGTTACTCCTGGGGTAGATGCATCTTAATCTGGTGTCTCAGCTTGGACCATTCCACCTTGGGTGACCTTGCCAAGAGATCAACCTAGTGAAAGACTCTGGCCTCCCGGTATCATTGCTCTTCATTTCTTTCAAACCCCTCACCACTTTAAGGTATGCATCCAAGAGGGGGCCATGAAAGTTTATGCCAGAATAATTTTGTCAATTTTACTGCACATAATCATAGATTCTCACAATTTTACCAGAAAAGAGATTGATCATGTGCAGATCAGACAGATTTCAAGATCTCTGTTCTAATCTCTTCAGCAGCAACTAAGAATAAATCTACTTAATTGGTTAATAAAGATCCATATCTATTCTAAAAATAGTTTGTACTGCCAAGTTCAGTCAGATATTCCTTTCAACAAAGGTGCAAGAACTATCTTGGGACAAGGGAACAATTCAGTGAAGAATGTATAATAATTAATGTCCTCTATTTGTGCCTCCCCCCCCCCCCAGACAACAATACTGGGAAGAAATTAAGGTGCCAGTACAGTCTTTGTTGTTGAGCCTTTAAGATACCACAAGAAATCATTTTTGTTGCAACACAATTATCCAGCTACCCTCTAAAAATAAATTTTCTAGTATTTCTCCTTTATTTCTTATCCAGTGTCACTTAGAAAATGAATGCAGAGTGCAGCGGGGGGGGGGGGGGGCTTTGGTAATGTGTTAATAAAGTAAGGTGGGGAGAGGTGAAGCAATGGTCTGTGCAATACAGTATCAAAAAGTACCAAGTCACTCAGCTCTCAACGTGTTTTGCTGCCTTGAGCTTTTTCTTCTTCAAAAACACCAGAGAAAACAAAAACCAATCAAGGTAATTTCTCAGATTTCACAGACTTATCAATAATTTTGGGTCATAAGTGCTGTCAGTTACTAATAGGTCTGTTGTGCACCATTTGTTTTAAAGGATTGCTGTTTCTTCTTCAACATTTCACTAACGTAAAACCATTTCAGACTCTTTCTGTTTTTGCAGTGCACCACAAAACAAAAGTTCCAGAAGTCAGGACTAGTTTTCTAAGGATGAATAGTTGATAAGGACATAAAAATTGCATTGCCAGAACTGTGCAGTTTAGCATTTTATCTTCCAGATGCCTCTGCAGCAACCTTCTCCAACATGGCACCCTCCAGATATTCTGGGCTACAAACACTATCATCTCATTGCTGGCTGGTGCTGCTGGGAGTTGTAGGCCAAAATATCTGGAGGGCATCAGGTTGTGTAAGACACCTCTGGAGGCTCACAAGCATTGCAGGATGGATATCATCCCATGTTCTTTGTCCT